AGCAGATGACATGGCTCCCCAAATCATCTCTGACTCTTTTCAGGCCGACATTTAAATCTTTATTCTAATATTTTTAATATATGGATTTTTGAAGGCCTGAGAAAAGAACCCTGAGGATGGGCAGTAACAGTTTTGGAGGCTTCAGCCGTGGCATGTAAAACAACAACAAAAACACTGAGCAAAAAAGGAAGATTGGCCAGAGACACACTGATCGAGTTAGTCATGTATGTTTTCAGCATTGCACGGGGATAGAAATAACGAAAGATGTGTTCTGACTTATAAAGGAAGGCCAACAAGCATATCAGCCACACCCACAGCAAAGTCACAGCTACTAGAAGAGATGTCACCTGACACTCTCTCACCTGATTGTGGCTGCCATCCTCAGACACTGTCCTCAGTCTGTTGGAGACTGCAGGGAGGGTCAGTATAACTAACGCTTCAGTGTAACTGAAGTCTACCACACAGAGGGAGAGCAGCAGTCGCACAGTATTTGTAATTCTCACAACAAATCAAAATTTTGTTCGTGTATTTGCTTCTTTTTATTTCATAAATGCTACCTCGCACATGTATTTTCTGCATGTATACCCTTTTACGTATATTCCGTATATTACATATATATTAAACGCTTTGCGTCGGGCCGAACAACGCCCTTTAACTGTGATATAATAAGCGTATACCATGCCTGTTGTGAACTATTGCTTAAATGAATCATAGTAACTACAGTATGTAATGTTCTGCAATTTAAAGCAAATGTTCTTTACTGTCACTCAATTCCTTTTTGGCAAGATATTTTTAAAAATAGATTAATTGTCTACAGGCATCTTCTTAATCCAGTCTCTTTCTAATCCTTTTGCAGATTCAGATGCATTGTCTACCCATTCAAGCAAAAGCTGACCATATCCACAGCTTCCTTGATCATAGTCATTATCTGGGTTCTGGCCATATCCATCATGTGTCCCTCTGGGGTGATGCTACAAGTGACCAAGGAGCAAACCATTCGGGTGTTACTGGGCTACGACAACAAAACAGGCCCATTTTATTGGTGCAGAGAGAACTGGCCAAACCAGGAGATGAGGAAGATTTACACCACTGTCCTGTTTGCAAATATCTATCTTGCTCCCCTTTCCCTCATCGTAATCATGTACGCCAGGATCGGCATTACGCTTTTCAAAACAACAGTTCCAACAGGAGCAAAGCCGGGCCATGACAACCGCCACACTGTGTCAAAGAAAAAGCAAAGGGTGATTAAAATGCTTCTAATAGTTGCTTTGCTTTTCATCCTTTCCTGGCTGCCTCTGTGGACCCTCATGATGCTGAGCGACTATGCCAGTCTGACTGAGCAGCAGTACAGAATCATCAACATTTACATTTACCCCTTTGCCCACTGGTTAGCCTTCTTCAACAGCAGTGTCAACCCCATCATCTACGGTTTTTTCAATGAAAATTTCCGTAGAGGGTTTCAAGCTGTGTTCAAGTTCAGCCTGTGCACGGCGGATGGACAGCGGAGGAAACCCTACTCACACAGGCTGCAGGGAAACTCTGTGCTCCCAGCTAATAATGCACAAACCACCCTTGAGCCTATTTCTCTCAATAGCCTAGATAAGAACACCTCCAAGCAACTCAACCACATCGCTGAACAAGACTTGGTCATGGAGGACCTGGAGAAGGCATCTTGCAGCAGTGGGGGTGTGACAGCAGTGTCTATTTAAGGAGCCACAAACAGACATTCTTGTAGGTGATAGGCAAAGGTGTTCATATTTCAAGAAAATTGCCCTCATCATTCAAATCCATGTCATCCACTGAGCCTAAGTAAACTCCAAGGCCCACCTCAGCAGGCTTTAGAAGATGACAATTTGTCTGAGGCAATTTCAATGCTGTCAAATATAAAGCAGTGATTTATCTTTTTGACTGTCATACACCACTTCATAACAATTAATGTAGCAAGCTACGTCACAGTGCTACTGAAACAAATCCATTTAAATTACCAGTTTGGTTGTTCATCTTTACTTATCACCTTCAATGCACATAATGTATGTTGCACATATTGTGCCATGCTAAAAATGGAACGGGCTGTGCTGTTGGAACTGTAGTTTTCAACAGGGAAAACAATCTTGTTGGCCAGTGAATAATTAATCAATTAGGATCGGTGGATACTGTATTGATAACAGGCTACTGTCCTGCTCTATGAGATACTTTTTAAAACATATATGTATGTACTGTGATGTTTGCAGAGCAGATTTCAAATTAAAATCACTTACAAATATATATCAGATGTAACAAACTTCTATGTTGTGTCTTGTCAGTATTGTT